AGCCAACAAGGGCACGAGCATAAGATCGCATCAAGAAAACGCTCGTGGCAAACGCGTGGGCGGCAGCTACCCGCGTGGTCTCGCGCACCAGGCACCTGCAGGAGTCTGCGCTGTCGCACGAGAGGCAGATCGCCACGGAGACTTGTGCTGATGACAGCCAGTTTGAGATTGGGCCTTTCTATGGGCTTCCCACGAAGGTGCACAGCCTTCTGCAACAACAGCGTGGCATTAAAGAGCTCTACGGTAATGTGTGCTGTTTTTTACACTCGGATATTTACGCGAAACTGTCTCTCGGTTTTTTTTCATGCCAACATATCTTTTTTTTTCTCTCGTGGGAGAAATGGTAATTGAATAGTATTTGGCGGACTTACTCTTTGGTTCTTTCGGTAAAGTCACGTAGAAAGAGAAAATAATGAATTAAATACTAGCAAACGACATTTCGATTGCAACACAAGCAATCGTCATCAGGTACAAATGAAAGAGAAAACAAAGCCTAGTAAACTTAGAAATATAATGCAATACAACACAGATAGTCGGCTAACATAACGGTCAACACCCTACCTGGATTGATTACGCTCTTCCAAAGATTGCTAAATTTAAGAGAGAGATTAAACAGAACAGGAGACACACAGACAGACACATAAGCAGAGAGAGACAAACAACATAGGCACACAGACACAGAGACACACAATATAGACACACAGACAGACAATAAGCAAGAGAGACAACACAGAGACACAGAGAGACACAACATAGGTGTGGGGTCGCTAGCCCCCGAGATCCCTCCCTCGATAATGTTAACGGCCGGGCTAGCATCATCAATCGCCCCCCCGCTGCTAAGCGAACCGCTGCTAAGTTCCTCACCCATGGGGTGGGAGCCGTCGCCCGAGGATTCCACTCCACCGCGGGTCCGCGTAGCAGGCATGGTTAATTACGTACGCGCACACCCACACACACAGCTCCGTACGGCACTCACTCTTGCGCTTCTCTGCGCCGCGCTGGCCGCTCACGTTACAATCGCGCACCTGGGGTACGCCGATTTCGCACGACGAGCTTACGCCTACACCGTACTACACGCGTTCACACTTATAACACGTAACGAGCACACGCAAGCGGGGCACACGCCGACACAACGACTAAAGTCGCCGCCGCCGTGCGCGCGAGATAAACCGTACAACAATGCGCAGCCGATTACGCTATGATCGCGCACCTGGGGGACGCCGATTACGCACGCTGCGAGCTTACGCACACACAGTACCACACGCGTTCCCACACGCTCACACTGCACGACAAGATCACGCGAGACCACGCTTCGCTATTAATGATTTATTACCTGATAACTAATGTTGAATTAGTGAGTCGACGAGGCTGGCCTATTCCACTAAACCGGCACCTATTCCCTATTTATCGGCTATGATTCTAATTCCCCTTCTTACTCACTGTTAAGTGTCCACGGCGGTCCGCTGATCCTTGTGTTAACCGCGTGCCTCGGTGCGTCGCACGGACGTCCGGGTCGCTGGCTCGAGCGTCTGGTCGCCTGGCGCTGGAGTAAGAGAGCGATTTCCCCTCTGCGCTCCTCTATTTATCCTCCCTACCTCCCAAAGGGGATGCTGCGCTGAACAATGGGCTCGTGCACCCCAAGCCCGCGCACGGCAGTCCCCAGGCGCTGTTGATATGCTAATCAGTGTGCTGCGTGCAAGGCGTAAATCCTAATTACTCCCTTACCCTTCCTACCAATGGGGCTTGCGCGCTCAAGCGCAATTATCCCAACCCTCCATGACTATGCGCAACAGCCCCTGTGACCCCGCTATTCATGCTGTCCCGTGCCTCCCCTGCTCGCCCCGTCGACCCGTGGGAGTGTGTGTGGGGGGAAATGCGCCTCAACCGCGGTGGCCGAATGCCCCACGCCACGACCTACCATATTAAGGCCGGCCGCAGCGCCGCGGTGCCACGTAGCACGGGGAGGTCATCCAATTCCCTGATCGCCGGAAACCGTGAGAATTAATCCCGATAAGGGTCTCTCGGATAAAAACCGGTCGATCAGGTGACCTTCCCTTCCAGCTCTATGGGGGGGGGGGAATGCGTGCGGGTGTGTGCTTATGTGGGGCGGGTGATGGGGGGCAGTGCGGTGGGGGAAGCCGGGCGGCTCCCTGGTTCGGCAGAGCGGCCCCGTCGTTGTGGCACCACATAGCCCCCCGGGGTGCCAGTCCCCGTCCCGGGTTGACTGGAGCACCTCGCCTGGGTTGCCCCCACGAGGTATCGCCGCGGGGTCCGCGGGATTCGCCCGGCCCTTGTGGCTGGCCTCGGGGGTGGCGGCTCCGTCTCCTGGGGCTCCGGCGGTGGTCTCCTCCTCCATTCCAACGGCTCCCCTCGGCCTCTGGCACCTGCGGGCTGGGGAACAAACTCAGAGGCGGTGGGGTTTAAGGGTCGCCGTCCTCGTCGCCCCCGGCCCCGCCCGGGGCCCCTCGGAGCCCGGGGCTCCGTGGGGCCCATGTACTGCGCGAGGCCCCCGGGCACGGGGGGTGGGGGGACCCCGGGGTTTCGGGGTACTTGGACGGCGGGGCTCCCCCCCTCGGGGGCTGCTCGCCACGGCTTCAGTCGGCGGATGTTGACCACCATCTCCCGGCCCCTCTCTCCTCCCTGAATCAGCACCGTCCATGGTGAGATCTGCCGTCTCACAATCCAGGGTCCTCGCCAGTAGGTGGTCAGCTTCCCCACCTGTCCGGCACCGACGCGGGGAGTGTACAGCCACACCTCGGAGCCCGCAGTGTAGAAGGGGGGCTCCATACGGGGTCGGGCGCCCTGCTCTTGCCGCTGGTGCGCGGCCTCTCCGTGCGGGCAGGCTCGGCCCCTGGCCCCTCGCAGGGTCTCCAGCAAGTGCTCCACGGGGTGGCTCCCTTCCTCCCGTTGCGGCGGAGGAACACCGAACAGCAGATCTGCGGGCAGGCGAGACTCGCGACCAAACATCATTAGGAACGGGGTCTGTCCTGTAGAGGTGTGAACGGCGGTGGTGTAGGCGAACAGGGCATAGGGAAGGTGTTCGTCCCAGTCCTGTTGATTCGCGGCCGCCATGCGTTTAAGCTTCCCGGCCAGAGTCTGGTTCATCCTCTCTACCATCCCGTTCGCCTGGGGGTGATACGCCGTGGTTCGGTCCTTCTGGATCCCGAACTCTCGGCACAGCGCCTGAAATAATTCGGCCTCGAATTCACTACCCTGGTCGGTAATGACTCGTTCGGGGATCCCGCACTTAAGTACATAGTTTTCCACGAAGGCCCGGGCCACTACAAGGGCTGTTTTATCTGGGATAGCCACCGCCACGGGGTAGCGGGTGAAGTATTCCACCGCTACGAGAATATATCGGTTGCCCCGGTGGGATCGTGGAAAGGGCCCCTGCAGGTCGATTCCGACCAACTGATTCGTCCGACTGACTCGGAACGGCCTCAGGGGTACCTGGTACCTCGCCGGCTTTTGCCCACACTGCTGACAGGCCCGGCAGCCCTGCACCCAGGCGGCCACATCTTGTGCCAATTTGGGCCAGAGATACTGGCGACGCAGGGTCTCCCGGGTGCGCCGTTCCCCATCATGGCCCCCGAGTGGGTGGTCATGCACCAGCCGTAGCAGCTGGGGTCGCACCTGGGCAGGAACACAGATGCCCCCCGGCTGGCCGGCCTCGGTTAACTCCCGTACCACTCCGTTCCGCACACACAACCGGGCATACAAACCGCTCCAGGGTCCTGGTAGGGCGCTCTTTTCCTCCCGCAGTGCCGCCTCCACTGCCGCCAGATCCGGATCTCGCTGCTGGGTCTGTCTCAGCTGCTCGTCGTTTAGGCCCGGGAAGGCGCAGCCGACGTCCTCCTGGATCCGTCCGATCGGGTCCCGAGCCGCGGGTCCCGCGCTTGCCGGGCGGTCGACGGGATCCTCAGTGCCACCTGTGAGGGTTTCTGTGGCGCACACTGCACTCTCCCTCGCTGGGGGGGGGTCAGTGGCCGCGGCCTCTCGGGGGTCCGTTGCCTGCCGGCAGCGTCCCCCGTGAAACACGGGCAGGCCTCCTCCGCCCTCGTCTCGGCGTACACCGTGGGTCGCCTCGACAAGGCGTCCGCGTTTGCATGCGTCCGGCCAGCCCGATACTCGATTTGCAGGTTGTACTCCTGCAACTGCGCCAACCACCGGGCCATCTGCCCCCGCGGCTCCTTGAATGTAAGAAGAAACTGCAGAGCATAATGGTCAGTGCGTACGCGACATCTCCTGCCGTACAAATACGGTCGGAACTGTTTGCATGCGAAAATCACGGCGTACAACTCTTGGCGGGTCACGCAATAGTTCAGCTCGGCCCCACTCAAGGTCCGGCTGGCGTACGCGATGACTCGTTCCGCCCCATCCTGTACCTGTGACAACACCGCGCCCAGCCCGCTGCTGCAGGCGTCGGTGTCCAAAATAAAATCGGTGGTAAAATCGGGGAAAGCGAGGGTGGGGGCGTGGGTGAGGTGGTCTTTGAGAGTGGTGAAGGCCGTCTGGCAGGCCCCCGTCCACTGGTAGGGGTGCTTAGGGGAGGTGAGTTGGGTGAGGGGGCGTGCAATCTCGCTGAATCCCTTTACAAATCGACGATAATAGGTGGCGAGCCCCAAAAATGATCTGATCTCCGTCAGGTTCCTTGGCCGTGGCCACTCCACTACGTGCGCGCAATTTGTGGGGGTCGCTAGCCCCCGAGATCTCTCCCTCGATAATGTTAACGGCCGGGCTAGCATCATCAATCGCCCCCCCTGCTAAGCGAACCGCTGCTAAGTTCCTCACCCATGGGGTGGGAGCCGTCGCCCGAGGATTCCACTCCACCGCGGGTCCGCGTAGCAGGCATGGTTAATTACGTACGCGCACACCCACAGCTCCGTACGGCACTCACTCTTGCGCTTCTCTGCGCCGCGCTGGCCGCTCACGTTACAATCGCGCACCTGGGGTACGCCGATTTCGCACGACGAGAGCTTACGCCTACACCGTACTACACGCGTTCACACTTATAACACGTAACGAGCACACGCAAGCGGGGCACACGCCGACACAACGACTAAAGTCGCCGCCGCCGTGCGCGCGAGATAAACCGTACAACAATGCGCAGCCGATTACGCTATGATCGCGCACCTGGGGGACGCCGATTACGCACGCTGCGAGCTTACGCACACACAGTACCACACGCGTTCCCACACGCTCACACTGCACGACAAGATCACGCGAGACCACGCTTCGCTATTAATGATTTATTACCTGATAACTAATGTTGAATTAGTGAGTCGACGAGGCTGGCCTATTCCACTAAACCGGCACCTATTCCCTATTTATCGGCTATGATTCTAATTCCCCTTCTTACTCACTGTTAAGTGTCCACGGCGGTCCGCTGATCCTTGTGTTAACCGCGTGCCTCGGTGCGTCGCACGGACGTCCGGGTCGCTGGCTCGAGCTGCGTCTGGTCGCCTGGCGCTGGAGTAAGAGAGCGATTTCCCCTCTGCGCTCCTCTATTTATCCTCCCTACCTCCCAAAGGGGATGCTGCGCTGAACAATGGGCTCGTGCACCCCAAGCCCGCGCACGGCAGTCCCCAGGCGCTGTTGATATGCTAATCAGTGTGCTGCGTGCAAGGCGTAAATCCTAATTACTCCCTTACCCTTCCTACCAATGGGGCTTGCGCGCTCAAGCGCAATTATCCCAACCCTCCATGACTATGCGCAACAGCCCCTGTGACCCCGCTATTCATGCTGTCCCGTGCCTCCCCTGCTCGCCCCGTCGACCCGTGGGAGTGTGGGTGGGGGAAATGCGCCTCAACCGCGGTGGCCGAATGCCCCACGCCACGACCTACCATATTAAGGCCGGCCGCAGCGCCGCGGTGCCACGTAGCACGGGGAGGTCATCCAATTCCCTGATCGCCGGAAACCGTGAGAATTAATCCCGATAAGGGTCTCTCGGATAAAAACCGGTCGATCAGGTGACCTTCCCTTCCAGCTCTATGGGGGGGGGGGAATGCGTGCGGGTGTGTGCTTATGTGGGGCGGGTGATGGGGGGCAGTGCGGTGGGGGAAGCCGGGCGGCTCCCTGGTTCGGCAGAGCGGCCCCGTCGTTGTGGCACCACATAGGCACACAGAGAAACGACGCCTCTGTGTCGAGGCCTTAGATAGAGAGGGGGTAGAGAGAGAGGGGTGGGGGGTACAGAGAGAGGGGGGCAAAGAGTGAGGGGGGCAGAGAGGGAGGGGGGGTTGATAAATTAATTTTTAGTACATGGTGGAATTTTGCTAAATGTATTTTACCAATTTGTTTTTGTTATAACAGCATATCACTGCTTATTTGATTCGTACTGTAAACGTTTACACATCACCAGTGTCGTGATGTTAGCTGTCAAGCCTAATCCAATTTCTCACACATTAGGTGATGGTTGAAACATTTTTGTCGTCCTGCACGCAAGTTAATCATTTTAATCGGCGTTTTTGTTCTCTTAACGTGTAATAAGCCACCCGTTTGAAAAAAAATTAACCCGTAAAAACAAAGTTTTTCACTATAAATCCTTTATATGCATGGCGGCTAGAGTCCTCTCGTCCTCTGGCTTGAGATGGCTGCCACCTATCGGTCAGATGATTGCCTGCCACCATTAAGCAATTGGTAATTAAATATAATTTATTTTTTCCTAAAAAGTGTAAAAGTTAGGAAAAAAAATTTAACGAGAATAAATTGTCACGCACAACGAGTCTGTGTGCAAAATGTCAGCTCGATTGGATCACGGGAAGTGGGTTAAAAAACGACCGAAAGATTTGCACGGTCGTAAGCGCGCAAGCAAGCACGCAAGCACGCAAGCGAACTTAATATAAAGGATTTAATTACAATTGACACATTCACGTGTTTCAGATTCTGCCGTGCATTTAATCATTCTCTTTTTATATTTGTGTCGACACATGACGCCGCAAAGCCTGGCAGCACGACTGCTTGTCCCTGGACTCCGTGAGACGAGGGAAGAATCTGATTTACTCTTTACCGACAAGTGGCGGCAAGACGCTCGTGGCAGAGATCCTCATGCTGAGGCAGCTGCTCTGCAAGAGAACGGACGCTCTGCTCATTCTTCCCTACGTTGCCATCGTCCAGGAGAAGGTAACGATCGCTTTTGTACACGCACATTTCCACACCGACACAGCAGCATAAATGCGGTTATACGAATGACTCTTTGGTTCTTTCGGTAAAGTGACGTATAAAGAGAAAATGATCAATTAAATACTAGCATACGACGTTTCAATTGCAACGCAAGCAATCGTCATCAGGTATAAATGAAATAGAAACACAAATCTAGTATACTTAGAAATGTAATGTAATACAACAGAGAGTCGGATAACATAACAGTCAACACCCTACCTGGTTGATTACGTTCTTCCTGAGAATACTAAATTTGAGAGAGAGATTAAACAGAACCAGAGACATATAGACAGACATATAAGCAGACAGATATCACAGAGATACATAGAGAGAGAGAGACGTACAAAGGCACACAGAGAAACCACGTCTCTGTGTCGAGGCCTATGTTTTGTCTCTATGTAAAGTCCTCCAAGATAAGTCAACTGAGGCAGCCGGGAATTTGGAAGTCTCGTTGAAATATTTCCGTCTTGGCTTAGGAACAGATACTCGGATGCAGAGTACAATCTCGGGTTCATCAATTATTCCCACACGACACACAATTGTGATGTGTCGCCGCTGCTACTGCTGCTGCTGCTACTGTCGGGGTCGCTAGCCCCCGAGATCCCTCCCTCGATGATGCTTACGGCCGGGCTAACCTCATCAATCGCCCCCCCGCTGCTGAGCGAACCGCTGCTAGGTTCCTCACCCATGGTGTGGGAGCCGTCGCCCGAGGATTCCCCTCCCCCGCGGGTCCGCGTAGTAGGCATGGTTGGATACCGCGTAGTATTATGTCCCCCTTTACGCTACCACGATACCTCCCTTTCCTAATCGCGTACCTGCGACCCACACGGAGCGAACGTACGCACACACACACACCGCTCCGTGCACTCCAACTCCACACTGACTACTCGCGTTATGATCGTGCACCTGTATCACACACGGAGTGAACACACGCGACACCTACTCTCGCACCGCTCTGCGCAGCGCTCCCCCGAGGCGAGCCGCAGCACTACAGAACCACTGCGTACACGCTCACCCACGCGCTCACACTGCACGACAAGATCACGCGAACCACGCTTCGCTATTAATGATTTATTATCCGCTACCTGGAACTAGATGTTAAATCAGTGAGTCGACGAGGCTGGCCTACGCTGATACCTCTATACCTATTCCCCATTTATCTGCTATGATTCTAATTCACCTTCTTACTCACTGTTAAGTGTCCACGGCGGTCCGCTGATCCTTGTGCTAACCGCGTGCCTCGGTGCGTCGCACGGACGTCCGGGTCGCTGGCTCGAGCTGCGTCTGGTCGCCTGGCGCTGGAGTAAGAGAGCGATTTCCCCTCTGCGCCCCTCTATTTATCCTCCCTACCTCAAAGGGGATGCTGCGCTGAACAATGGGCTCGCGCACCTCGAGCCCGCGCACGGCGGTTCCGGGCGCTTTTGATCTGCTAATCAGTGAGCGGCGTTGGCGGCGTACATCCTAATTAATCCCTTACCCTTCCTAACAATGGGGCCTGCGCGCTCAAGCGTAATTATCCCAACCCTCCATGACTATGCGCAACAGCTCCTGCGGTCCCGCTATTCATGCTGTCCCGTCCCTCCCCTGCTTGCCCCGTCGACCCGTGGGGGTGTGTGTGGGGGGAAATGCGCCTCAACCGCGGTGGCCGAATGCCCCATGCCGCGACCATACCATATTAAGGCTGGTCGCAGCGCCGCGGCGCAACGTAGCACGGGGGAGGTCGTCCAATTCCCTGATCGCCGGAAACCGTGAGAGTTAACCCCGATAAGGGTTTTTCGGATAAAAACCGGTCGGCCAGGTGACCTCCCCTCGGAGCTCTATGGGGGGGGGGGGGGGAAATGCGTGGTGGTGTCTCGTGTGAGGTGAGGTGAGGGGGACGCGGGGTTGGCTCCGTTGCTTGGTGGTGGCGAGGTCGGGATTTGGGCGCCTGCCGAACGGCTTCATGGCGGCGGCATCACACTACTACTGCTGCTACTACTGCTGCTGCTGCTGCTCGAACAGGTGCGGAGCCTGTCTGTGTTTGGTGTGGAGCTTGAAATCTTCATAGAGGAATACGCGGGAAGCAAGGGGCGCATGCCACCGCGAAAACACCGAAAGAAGAATTCTCTCTACATCGCCACCATTGAGAAAGCCCACAGCCTGGTCAACGCCCTTCTAGAGGAGGGCGCATGAAGGAGATTGGCCTGATCGTTGTGGATGAGGTATGCGGCATTCATTATTTAATTACAGAGAATAATTGGCATCCTGCAAATGTCATTACAAATGTTACGTATTAATGTTCATCATCGTCATAATCAGCCGTCGTGAATTACTTCTGGATGAGGGCATCCCCAAGCCTCCGCCATCTTGCACAGGCCCACAATGCAACAGTCCACCCAGCAGCAGCAGCACGAGCTGTGACGTCAGTGCAATGTAGTGTTGAGTCTCATTTGCAGCGACGTACTAATGGTTTGATAATAGTTTTTTTACCCTTCTATCTGGCAACAAAACTGACACATTTTTTACGAGGCGTCATGTTTGCATAGACCACAATACCTGCAGTCATAATACAAACAAAAAACATAACTCTGATAATGATATGCACTGTCCTTGAAGTTGATTGGTCCACACCCAAGACAGCTTTCCTTAGAGCCTTTTGGCGTCATCTGGTCCAACCCATGTGAGACTAGGCTCTAAGGAAAGCTGTCTCGGGTGTGGACCAATCAACTTCAAGGACCATGTGAGACTAGGCTCTAAGGAAAGCTGTCTCGGTGTGGGCCAATCAACTTCAAGGACAGTGCATACATTATCAGAGTGTGTTTTTTGTTTGCATTCCGACCGCAGGTATTGTGGTCTATGCAAACATGGCTCCTCGTAAAAAAAGTGTCAGTTTTGTTGCCAGATAGAAGGGTAAAAAACCAATTATCATGTTTTACTGGCAAATGAGGTCCCAATGGTGTACTAATGGTTTGTTGCGTGGTCTGTAGCTGCACATGTTGGGCGAAGGTGGCAGCCGTGGGGCCACCCTGGAGCAGACGCTGGCCAAGGTTCAGTATGCGTCAAGTACGTTTGTTCTCACCCTGCAGTTATCATACATTACTGCGGGTTTCCAGTCGTCGTTGTGGTGATTCAGTTCCATCTGTGATTCAGTGTGGTGTTGCATTCGCTTGATTCTATTGCAGAAACAACTCAGGTCATCGGTATGAGTGCCACTCTGAGCAACATCAAGGACTTGCAAAAATTCCTGAATGCGGAGTTGTACACTAACGATTTTCGACCGGTAGGAATCACATTCATCTTCTTGGTTCTTTCGGTAAAGTCACGTAGAAGGGAAGTAATAAATAATAAAAATAAAACAATAAAATAATTCTCACGACGTTTCGGCCACAACGCAAGCAGCCGTTTTTTTTTTTGTCAAGACGCTCTTCACCCCTCCATCCCAGCTTAAATAGTCGCCCCAAGCCTGGGGTGTGTCATTCAGACTCTGTCTTTCGACAGACCTGTTCTACACCTGAGGACGGCCGCTTGCGTTGTGGCCGAAACGTCGTGAGAATTATTTTAAAATGTTTTATTTTTATTATTTTATTATTTCCATCCTACGTGACTTTACCGAAAGAACCAAGAAGATGAATCCCTGCAGTCACGAAAGCTTTACATCGAAAAGAATCACATTCTTATTATTATTATTGAAAGTTTAATTTTCATAAAAATGTTGCGCAACTGATGTGTGAAAGATACACGTCTTCAACCTCTTACAAAAGTCTACATGGCTGCCGTGATCCTCACAGGTCCAGTTAAGAGAGTACATTAAGCTTGGAGACTCTATCTACGAGGTAAACAACAAGGCTCGGTGTCCAGAAGAAAGCTTCAGTTTTATCCGACTGCTCAGTCACAAGGTGAGTGCACAGACATCAATGGAAATAAAATAGGCACACAAGCTTTTGAACAGCTTTCAAGTTTAAATAACCTGTGTATATATCTGGACAGATGGATAGAGGAAGCAGACATTGCTTCTTCTTCTTGGTTCTTTCGGTAAAGTCAAGTCGAAGGGAAGTAATAAAATAGTAAAAATAAAACATTATACAATAATTCTCACGACGTTTCGGCCACAACGCAAGCAGCCGTCCTCAGGTGAAGACCAGGTCTGTCGGGGAGACAGCGTCTGACCTGGTTTTCACCTGAGGACGGCTGCTTGCGTTGTGGCCGAAACGTCGTGAGAATTATTTTATTATGTTTTATTTTTATTATTTTATACTTCCCTTCTACGTGATGACTTTACCGAAAGAACCAAGAAGAAGAATCCCTGCAGTCACGAAAGCTTTAAATCGAAAGAGACATTGCTTGTTGATTTTGTTATTGATACTCTCCACAATGACGTGATTGATTATTTTCTGAAATGCACAGTTACGTCTATTGACATTTCACGATGGGCTACATGTGATGGTTGTCAAAGCTTGTTCAAGAACGAGCCACTTTGCCATTCGCCTAGGTAGGTCCCTGCGGGCCACACGGTAGCAAAGCTCTCTTCCTACGCTACAGGAATTTTGCTGGAGCAGCCAGACCTGATGACGGACGCTTGTGTAGCCTTCGAAACGTCGTGATTTAATGTAGCTGTAGTAGTAGGTTTTTACCCTTTTAAACTGGTACAAAACTGACACCTTTATACAAGGCATCATGTTTGCAATAACCACAACACAAGTAGTCAAAAAAGCAAACAAAAATAAGCAAAATAAGCAACTTTGATAATGATAATAATATGCACTGTCATCAGAGTTGCTTATTTTTGTTTGCATTTTTGACTACTTGTGTTGTGGTTATTGCAAACATGATGCCTTGTATAAAGGTGTCAGTTTTGTACCAGTTTAAAGGGTAAAAGCCTACTATATTTTGCCACTGGTAAAAGAGAGGTCTCATAGTGTTAATGTAGTTGTTTTCACTTTTTTTATTTTTTACCCTTACCCCACGTGACTTTACCAGAAAAACCAGAGAGTTTGGTAGCAGAGCGTTCGCATTCCCCGGTTCTCACCGGCCAGTTATCACCACGACGCACTCCGTACGTGGCCCAAGGCGGTCGGCTGGTCACATGCCCCTGTGCTACGTCGTGGCTGCTGTGTGTGCTGCGGCGACAGTACTCAAGCGCAATGCTGAAGACGGACCCAGACCACATCGTGGCTCTGGTCACGGAAGTCATCCCCGCTCACTCCTGTCTCGTCTTCTGCCCCACGAAGAAGAACTGCGAGAATGTGGCAGAGATGATCTGCAAGTACCTGGCAAAGTACGTGTACCTCTACATTGCAGTCGTACATCTTGCAAGAGTTACTCCTTGATGTCACATTAGAAGGCAGTTGTTCGATGTATTTACGTCGGTGTGTCAAATATCTTTAACGTGCACAATTGAGTTTTGAGAGTTGCTTGAATACAATCTATACTTTCAATACCGAATGCAAAAAATGCATCGTGTTGTTTAAACTGGAAATTCCTGAAGGCTCTTGTGCATTTCTTAAAAATGTTTACACCGATCTGTGCAGATTGTTTTTGTTATTTTCCTCAAGGGAAAGTGACCTTGCAGGGGGCAGTTCTTGGGCTACGAACCGAATTCATTCCTGAGACCCGTTCGCAAGTCTAACGGTTCATTACGAGCGGAACACAATAATGCGCTTATTTAAATGCCCATCAGGTCAGTGTTGTGAAATGTGTTACAGTTCAACAATAAGGAAAGCATTGTTAAACTCATAATGAATAAGAAATACTGTACTTTTACACTTGGTACTGTAAAAAGTACTGTATTGTAAATAAAACTAAAAATAAAGTAACACAAACAGAAAAAACACTTTTTTTATTTTCATTTACCTTGAGTCCTAGGTCGTAGTCGAAAGGGGGGCAATGAGACCCCGGGGTCCCGAATAAACAGAAGTCAAAATCGTAATTAACAAATTATATTTTTGGCGACTCTGTCCCACCGCGCACATCAACGCAGCGACCCACCAGAAATCATTCTTCTCGTTCTTCACCGAGCACCCGTCAGTTGCCAAAGTTGCCGTCGTCATAAATAAAACTTTGATTAGAGGAATAGATTGCCGTGTCGTTCGTCTTCAACAGACACAACGTGACGTCGCAACGCAGTTTGTGCGAGAGCCGGGGGCTTATGGGACCCCGGGGTCCCGCCATAAGGTTTAATTGCGCACACACGCACACACACACACACACACACGCACACACACACGCACACACACACACACACACACACCACACACGCACACACACGCACACACGCACACGCACACACACACGCACCGCACACGCACGCACACGCACACACACACGCACACACACGCACACACACGCACACACGCACGCACACGCACGCACACGCACACACACGTACACACCACGCACACACGCACACACACACACACACGCGCACACACGCGCACACACGTGCACACACGCACACACACGCACACACACACGCACACACACACGCACACACACCACCCACGCACACACACACACACGCACACGCACACACGCACACACACACACCACACCACCCCACACACACACACCACACACACCCACGCACGCGCACACGCACCACACGCGCACGCCACACGCACGCACACGCACGCACACACGCACACACGCACACACACGCACACACGCACACACACGCACACACACACGCACACACACACACACGCGCACACACACGTGCACACACACACGCACACACGTGCACACAAAGACAAAAGTCCCCCACATAGCCTTAACAGACTGTAGGAGCAAGTGCTGTTAGCGAGAAGTACTTTTGTAGACCGTTATGGCGCACGCGGGGGTGGGTGGCCAAAACCACGTCCGACCACCTTTGTCTCCCCAGTGGCGATGTTGACACACGGAGCCACTACAGGTGTTGGCTGTGGGCAAGAAAGGGTTTTATTCGCCACGACAGTTTGCACAGACAAGGAATGTACTATGGCAGGAAGGTGCATACATTCAACATGTAGGAATCTTAAAACTTAAATAAGTGGTATACAGTCTAACTATACTAAAATGACAAAGTCTAACTAATACTAAGGGGCTAAAGTATGTAAAATTTTGAATAAGTATACAATATAAGATGTACAATCTTAAAATACAAATAGGGTGACCTGTTGTAAATATGGCAAGGTGTAATTTTGTAGATGAAATGTTAAAGTGTAAAGTTCATTTTAAGCCCTTGGCCTTGCTGAAGAGGTCAACAGCGGATGGGAAGAAACTGTGTTTATGACGTGAGGTTTGGTCCTGATGGACCGCAGCCTTCTGCCGGAGGGGAGTAGCTGGTACAGAGAGTGTCCAGGGTGCGAGGAATCGGCCACAATCTTCCTCGCTCGCCACGATCACACTTTCCAACTCGCACGCGCAAACGCTCACTCCCAGCGCGAGAACGACCCGTCACATCTCGGTGAGGACCCGTACCCGTACACGGCCGCACCAGGGTCGCAAATGGTTACCCGTACTTGGCCGGTTCCGGGTACCCGTTCCCTACCCGTACCCTACCCGAAATGAGTGACAAACGGTGACTCACCAGTGACTCACGGCCTACCTGTACCCGGCCGCACCAGGGTTGCAAATGGGTACCCTACCCGTACCCGGCTGCACCAGGGTCGCAAACGGCTACCCGTACCCGGCCGGGTACGGGTAGCCGGGTATCGGGCAGGGTACGGGTATCGGGTACCCGGTTGCGACCTCTGGCCCCCACCCAGCACATTGACAAACGGACTTCACAGCAGACGTCGACAGCGGATGTCGACGTCGCCGCCTGGAGCGGAGAAAGCGCTCGCAGGTGACAACACCAGCGGCACCACCGCCCCCTTTCCGGCGCGTTCTGACCGCCCGCAGGACGTTCCTGCGTCACCGCGCAGGAGAAACATGCGCTGCTCGCCGAGCTGCGGGCCGACGGGGAGCTGTGTCCCGTGCTGCGGCACACGGTCCCCTACGGCCTGGCCTACCACCACGGCGGCCTCACGGGCGAGGAGCGCCGCCTCATCGAGGAGGCCTACTTTGGCGGCACGCTCTGCCTGCTGGCGTGCACCTCCACGCTGGCGGCCGGCGTCAATCTACCGGCACGCAGGTTCGCCACCTCGGTCGTCGGTGCATTGCGGTGTCGGCCGCACCTCCGATTAGCACGGCTGGCTACGTACGGCGCGAAAGAAGTTGAGCGCGTGTGTACATAACCGCCGTGAAGTTAGCCATCAATCATGTTGTGAGTTGGGGGAGTGTTTTGGCATCGGCACGCCAGAGACGTTTAAAACGTGTAAATGAAAGATGTGCGCCTTCAATTTTAGATACTCATTCGCCACGCAGAAGCCATTGGCATAGCGCGGTAAAAAGTACGCGGTCACCTTGCACAAAGTCTCCGATGATTTTTAAGGTGGTACCACGTGTTGTTTGGCATGATGTTCTTGAAGAAGCTGTCAACACGTAGGGCGACATGTCGGACGTCGTGCCAAACGACAAGCGGCACGACCCGAAAGCACATCGGAGTGCTATGCGTCACAACCACGCTCGAATGTTTTTCTTGTTCGTCGATAACTTGTGGATCGTCTCCTGTGCCTCCTGCCCCAACGCACGCACCTGCCTTCAGGGTGATCCTCCGCTCCCCCTACATCGGCAATTCCTTCCTAAGCCGAAGCCAGTACAAGCAGATGGTGGGCCGTGCCGGGCGGGCGGGGATAGACGCGTCGGGAGAGAGCATCACCATCGTCAACAGCAGGGACAAGCCCAAGGTGTAGCGGCTGTTCTGCTGCCATGCTCCCAATGTTAGAATTAGCTGAAGGACGTCCCATTCAAAAGTTGAGCGTCTTGTTAAAATGATCACACCGGCCTACAGACCTTGTTCTTGTGTAGCAAGTGTGCTCTTTGTAATCGATTTCTCTGTCACCATTGGAACCTCCTTTGCCAGTCGCAAAATATGATTTAAAAAATTTACCCTTTTATCTGGCAACAAAACTGACACCTTTTTTACAAGGAGTCATGTTTGCATTGACCACAATACCTGCGGTCGGAATGCTAACAAAAACACAACTCTGATAATGTACGCACTGTCCTTGAAGTTGATTGGCCCACACCTGAGACAGCTTTCCTTAGAGCCTAGTCTCACATGGTGTTGGACCAGATGACGCCAAAATGCGCACAACTCAAAGACAACGCACCATCAGAGTATGAGAGCTCGGGGTGAAGCATTTACACCATTGGAACCTCATTTGCCAGAAGAAAAAATATGATTTTTCTGCGTTTTTCTACTTGTAGGTGGTGACGCTACTTGTGGATGGACCATTTGAAGTTTGCCAGAGTAGCCTGGCACATGCAGATGGAAAAGGAGTTCAAAGCCTACTCCTGTCACTCATTGGCTTGAAGGTCAGTTTCTGTTCTGCTTATAACGTAAATTACGCACGAAATGAACTGCAGTGACGTTTCCATGGAAATGTTACGCAGCAACCAGGAGACAAGTCTGTTTAATAATACTCGGCACCTGTTTGTGTGTTTTTGGAGCCGATGTTTACCGTTTACAAACTGCTGGGGCAACAGATGCATGCATTTGACACGATACATTTGATATGAAACGGTTCGTGGTAGTTACATACTCAGAGTTTAAATAGATCATGCTTCATAATCAACGTTGTTGGGTTTAGATCGCCGCGTTATTTATAAATGTGTCGTAACCCTCCACCACCACACGGCCAATCAGTAAAAAAGTGTCACGTTGACAAAAGACAAAATAGTTCACTGCTTTAGCCCACCGTGTGTTGAAGCGTGAAACCACAACATTTACAATTTGAGTAGCACGACGTTTCGCTGGTAATTGCATCCAGCATCATCATCGGGCAATTCGCCAGAATGGTGAGGCTCTGCTGTGTCTCCTGATCTTATATAGAGCAGCAGCAGCAGCAGAGTGATGTCATCATTAAGTCATCAACTCATCAGATCATGCTTGTTTGAGTGAACCCCAAGCTTGGATCGTCTTTTTAAGCTGGGTTGCAAATTATTTGTCAAGGCGCT